TCTAACAGAGTCCTGACTCTCATTTTAGTTTGAGTCCAAATTCACTTGGAACAAGTTTCCTATTAATAATGTTGGAATGTTGAAAGTGCATAAACATTATTTTGTATGCTACCATTTCATGCACCTTAGAAGGTTTTAAAATACACACAAACATTTCCCTGGAAAGTATTAATACAAAAATGGTGTAAGAAATATCAATACGACTGTTGGAATTGAAGGAAGGAGATCAAATGATAACCAAAGTCATTAAAAAGTAGAATGCAGTCATCTTCTCCTTGCATGGAATAAATGAAATTCTATTGGATCATTTCAGTTCATGGTTCATAAACTATGGCTGGGTTTCCCAGTGGGTTTCCCACTGCAATTAGTTGAATGAGATTTCAGTTACCCTAGGATTTGCCTGTAAATATGGGAGAAGTAATGTTGAGATGGTTAAGATGTGTGTAAGATTGAGATGCACTTTGCCTTATCTAGTCAGCCTTTTAACAGGAATACAGTGGAAGATTTTAGAGAGAGAATCTTAATAAGCGAGGGATAAGGAGTGCTTTGATTAGTTTGTCAAAAATTATGTAGGGTGACATTCTTAATTACCAACTGATAGAAGTTTTCAGCAGTATTTGTACAAAATAGGAAGCAAGTACAGATTTTCAGATAACAACTATGTAACAGTAATATAAAACTGTTAGATATAAAGTCAATATATAATTTTTTTTTTATATAAAAATATAGAAATCATAAGGGAAACAAAGTGAATGCTCAAGGTTTTTAGTTTAGATACTTCATGTGAATGGGATATTCAATTGAAGATTAGATCCAGCAAGAACAGGTATGACAAATGCTCAAGAATTTGGAAGAACAGTGAAGAAGTAAAACTCATACTTCTGAAGGCAATCCTACAGATAAAAGCCTCTAAGAAAAACAGAAATTAGTAATAAGAGTTAAAGATGATAAAGTGAGGAAATTACTGAAGATTAACAAAAGATAAAGCTTTTCTAGAGAGTTGCAACAAGTCAAAGAGGTAACGTAATTGCCAGCAGGCGCTTTCTAAATGCCTCACTTTAAAAAGTCAGGGATAAAGATGGAAGGCAGAGATGGCTGTGAAAGGCAGATGGCTTTTAGTTTCTACACAGTGCACTTTTTTCTTAACCGCTTTTCTCTCACTTGAACAGGATGATACTTTCAGTAGATGTACCATTAATCCTTATAAAAATGGTGGCAAAAAGCACGTGCAAACTATGGACCCATGAAAGTCAAGGAAGAGTAGGCCATAAAGGAAATAGGCTCCTATCTTACCAAATGCCTGTTGAAACCTGATTACTCCTTGTCTGTAAGATATTGCACCATCTGATAGTACAATGAATTTATTTTTAGTATAAATACCTAGAGAGTGAAAAATATGCTTGGTATTGCCATTTCTAGCAGGCAGCAGAACTGTAAAAAGAGGGAATTCACCACTAAGGAAAAAAGAAGAATTCCAATTTTATTTACAGCTCAGAGGTTGGCAATTAGAAGGCCCAGACAATATAGACTTGATGTGTCATATCATAATGTAATTGCTGTAATTATTTATCATTTTCTTTACATACGTGTACATTAGTTCTGTTAATGTTATGCTAATGGCTGCATTCACCATCTCTTGCAGAGAATGGTTTTAGAACAGGAAGAAGAGAGGCACAAATATCTTTTCACCACTGTAACTGCATTGCTATAGCTGTACATCTCAGTTCTTCAGGTCAAGATAGCAGCTGCACACTTAAATAATAAACACTTTTTGTTTGCAATGTTCAGTTCCTCTGACCTTCCAATATACTAACAAGCATTAAACAATGAACAACCCTCTTATTTTTAATGTTTATATTTTTTAACAGTTTTACAGTTTGCATTATTTTTTTTTTTTTCCTCATAACAGCTCAGTAGCTTTAAATTCAGAGGTTAAAATTTACAAATGCATTTACTATGGAAAAAAAATCTTACTGTCACTTACGATAGACAAGTGTTAGGCATTAGAGCATGGGAAGACAGTGTCTTGATGCATAATATTTTGTCTGATTTAAGCTGGTGTCACCACTGTCTGAGATTTAGTTCTGCCTGCTCAAGCCTGAATATTCCTACTCTGTTGAGCTATATCAGGCACTTGCCTGACCCCGTAGTGCAACAGTTTGGAAGCCCAAGCTGTGTACAGGGCTGATGCTACTGGAAAATCTTTGGTTAGTATTGCACTCTGCCAGTTCAACCATCTTGCCTGGCAGTTGAGCTGAGCACCAAGGCTGGCATAAAGGAGCAGGTGGCAGTGTGCAGGTGGGGAACAGGAGGGAACGCATGAATGTGGCAACATTGCCTTGAGGTGTTTTAAACTTCCACAGAGCCGCACCCATGGGTTCCTGTCCAGCACCTGCATGTGATTCACTGTGTCACCTCAGACAAGCCAGCTAACCTCAGACACCTTTTTGGTACTAGGAAACCTACCAGGTGCTCAGTAGGTGATGTGATCACCAAACAATGGGGCAACTGTGGGTGTTTTATCTGCTAATATGCTCATCCTGTTGACCCTAGCACTGGTGTCAATATGAGCACTTCAGTAATGGTTTCTCTTATTAGATAAGTACTGTAGTTCTCACAACAGAAATGCCCTGTATCCTCTGTGAACAAAGTTATGGTTTATCATTTGTGACATGCTGTTGTCTCTGATTTTCTTAATTAACTAAAAAAAAAAAAAAAAAAAAAAAAAAAAAGTACAGGACAGTTCAGTTCAATCTTTTTTTAAGAGCTTAAGACTAGATACTTAAAAATGTAAGGTGTGAGGCTATGCATTGTAATGGTGTCTTTACATTCACTGTGATCACTGAACAAGGTGTGGGTTTTGTGGGGAAACATAATCAAATGAAGAAGGATAATGTCAAACTAAGGGTATATGAACAATCAAGCACTGTATTTTACAACAGTAGCTCACTGGGCTGTATTAATGCAGATTTAACTTTGTAACTCCAGTGCTAACACCTAAACTGCTATCTTCTTAGTTACCTACTCACACTGGCAGAGAAAGAGAATGGCATTTTCCGGAGGCAAGAGGCATCATCTTCTAGCACAGGGTGGGGTTTGGGTGAGGCTGAAGGAAGCGATACAGCTTTCTTCTCTTTCCCCTCCAACCTGGAGAGCTTTTGCCTCCCTAGTGCCTGATAGGAGAGCTGGGAAGCTACAACCATGTCAAATGCTGAGGGCCCGGCCTATTTCTCTGCCTGGGTGGAGAAGAATGCTCCAGCTCTTCAGGTGCTCTTTGATGTGTGTGTGTATATACATAAACACACACATATACATATGTATGTATACACACATGAAATAGACTTTACCTGACAGATTTCACATCTGGCAAGGTGAGGGAAAAGCTCTACCTGGTTTCTGCTCCTTGTAGTGTAGCCTCCCAAGTAGGCTGGGATTTTCCCATCAGAAGATCATTCTTTTCCATTTTTGCTCCTTCATGTGCTCTGACATAAGCTATAGTAATATGAGTCTAACCTTTAGTGGTTTTTGTATTCTACTTACTATTTTGGAGTTTTACCAAAATTATAGGAAGGAATGCATGCAACAAAAGGTAAATGGTGATTTGGTAAGACATTACTGCAATTTCAAGAATAAGGAAAAGCCACTTCACAAAGCTGAGGTAGTTCTCTCCCTCCTCAAAATTAGGGAATTAGAAAGACCTTTAGAAAGACTTCAAGAATTCTAGCTAATGGAGAGTAGTAAACATAATTAAAAATAATAGGCGAACTAATGGTTGCTGTTAACGCCCTTCATAACTTGCAATTATTTGTTCATAATATTTGACTTAGTCTTGGTATCTTATATTTTAATATTACATTTCCTAGTATTTTTGTATCTTACTTTTATTCCTGTTTATTAGTATACACAATACTCATGAGCTTATTGTGCAAAATAAAGTTGATATACAAAAGAAAGGCAAGTTTCTGTACTCTCCACAAGTCCTTTAAACTTTCATGATAATTAATTAATTTCTGTAATTGTGAGGTATAGAAGAACTCATTTTCTAATTTATTATCAACAGAAACTCAGAACAACTCGGACCCTTCTGAGAAATATGCTTCAGAACAACTCTTCTTTCTTTAAGCAGCAGTCAGGCTTCTTAATTTAGCTTCAGATATTCAGGAATTCATCAGAATTCAACTTAAAAGTTCTGCATGCATTGATGTGTTTGTTTTTCGTGTTTTGTAAGAACCCTGAAGGCTGCCTTTACTCTTTTGCACCCATTCTTAAAAATACACCACTGATCCGTAGAAGTCAAAGCAGTTTCAGTGAAGCCTCTCCTGCTGAATGAGAAACAAGGCATGTAAGCATGGTGAGTATTTTTCTTCTGGCAGATTGTCATCAGGACACAGAGATCGGCCTTCAGTTGCACCGGGGGAGGTCCAGATTGGACATCTGGAAGAATTTATTAGAAATAGTGGTGAAACACCAGCACGGGCTGCCCAGGGAGGTGGTGGAGTCACCGTGCCTGGAGGTGTTCAAGAACTGAGGAGATGTGGCACTGAGAGACATGGCAAGCGGGGAAGCGTTGGCAGTTAGATTAGATGATCTTAGAGGTCTTTTCCAACCTTAATATTTCTATAATTCTGTAGTTTTTCCTTCTTTCAACATGGAAGGTCACTGGGGATGGGGAAAAGGTGCCTTTTGGACAAAATGCCTTACACCCGTTACCCCCTCCCAGCGCCAACCGCCGCCCTCCCGGCGGAGCACAACTCCCGATGCGGTTTGAACGCAGCCAAAGCAACCAATCCCCGCAGCCGCCCGCCCGGCGCCGCGCGCTCATTGCTGGCGGGGCGGTCCCGGCGTGGGGCGGCGGCCAATCAGCGCGCTCCGGCCGAGCCGTCGCCTGGGCGTGCACAACGGCCGCCGGTGCAGCGGCTGCTTCGAATAACGGCGGTGAGCGGCGGGACCGGCGGCTGCGGCTCCTCGCAGGGTCTGCTGTCGGTGAGGGGCTGGGGCCGGAGGGTGGGTCAGACTGAGGTGCGCGTCCTTGCGTCTGTCAGCAAGGAGCGGCTTTTAGCGCTAAGCTCCGCGCTATCGGTCTGCAAAGCGCGCGGAGGGGTGAAGCGTAGCTGCAGCCTGGAGTCGCGCCGTTGCTTTGCACGGGGTTCTGAGAAGCAGCGCTGCACAACTACCACGCGATTGCGTGGCGTGTTTTTAAACCTTCTCTTAACTGGGCAGAAATGTGTTACAATAGGACCTGATGTTAGAAGCCGGCAGCTGGCTCAGGAAGCTTGCAAGGTCGTCAAATACTTCGCTATAACCACTGCTACGTTCAAAAGTAGGTGCACTGAAAAAGTAAACGTGAAAGAGTCAAAGAATCCTCTTTAAGTCTAATTGTAGTTGCCCTTGTTTTTCAGGCACTGTTACCACCTATTCTGTAGAGGGAAAAGCCTGGTCAGCATGAGCTGGGTTGTGGAGGAGTGGAAAGAAGGGCTGTCCCCACGAGTCCTTCAGAAGATCCACGAGCTGGAGAGTCAGGTAGACAAGCTGAAAAAAGAACGTCAGCAAAGACAGTTCCAGTTAGAATCTCTGGAGGCAGCTTTGCAAAAGCAGAAACAGAAGGTAACGTGGGTACTGTGGTAACTTCCCTAAAATGCTGTTCTGCAAGCCTGATGTGACTGTGTGAAGCTTTGTTATCTGAGTGTTGTTAGAAGATGAATGCTTTTTCTGTTCTTCATGCTGACTGACTGGGAAGGTACCATGAAAACGTAAACTGCTTATCTCTGTTGCTTTCTCATAGCTGTTCATCATATCCCGCTCTTTGGCAAGTTTTGATTGTATTTACGCCTCCTATCAGTGTTTGAAATGGTTGTCCACGTCCAAATGCGTGCTTACTTTGAGGCTTTCTTCCAGGCTTTATGTTTAAGAAAACATTACATTATTATGCTTGTTAAAAATCTAGGCTTCTTACTAAGAGCAGCACAACTGATGACACTTACTGTTTCATATTGTCTCTTTATGCTCTTTTGTTGCTTTAATTTACATGCATCTCAGATTTCTGCTTGTATATATTGTATTTTGGGATTTTTTTTGTTTGTTTGTTTTGTTTTGCTTTAGGGATGGAATGTGTCTCATCTGGCTTTAGCTGTCTGCCCTCTAACCTAGAAGCTAGAAACTCATAACCTGTATTCTGTCTTGCAACATTTGAATACAGTTTAGATACAGTTGCAGAAATTTGCCTTCTATTCCTGTTTGGCTGATACAATCTTGTAGCAAAACTCAAGCTTAGTAGTTTTCCTAAGTTATTGTTATTTATTCCTTCCTGAGTTTCCAGATAGGGTCTTAGCTGCTGTGTTCTCTAAATTGGGGGTGGGGAAGGGAAATACTGAAAAGATTGGGTATATTCAAATAGATGCGTTTTAAATATCAGAAGCAGCAGCAAATACTTAGTACTTTTCAGCTGGAGGCAAAGGTGAGAAGAGCTCTGGTGTCCTACTTCCCAGTAGTTATTGCTGAGCAGCAGGTGGCTGCAGTTTGACTCAGAGTCTGGAGGAGAAGGAAATCTCTGCTGTCAGGCCCCATTTCCAACACAAAGCTGCAACCCTTTATAATAATAACAGCACATTTTTTTCTTTAGGTAATAAAACTATTCTGATTGCTAAGGCTTAGAGGATGGATAGAGAAATAAGACAATCACTGAAGACTTAAAACTGGTGTAGATCTCTATTTAAGAGCTAATGAGTTCTTGATGTGATTATGTTTATTCAGTAAATTGGGTACTGATGTGACTGAGCTGAATTCTAAGGATGTCTTTATTTAAACCCAAGGATGTCTGGAAAATATTTCTGTCTGAGGTTTTCAGTGCTGTTAGGGCTTGGAATATAGGGAAGAAAAAAACAGTATGTAAACTGTATAGTTATTATTTTAAGTAAATAAGATATTAAGTTTTTTTGAAATGTTCTTTATTCCAAATAGGTTGAAAATGAAAAAAATGAAACTGCAAGTCTGAAGAGAGAGAACCAGAGCCTGATGGAATTGTGTGATAGTCTTGACAAAGCAAAGCAGAAAAATTCACACGATCTTCAAGTAAAAGAATCTCAAGTCAACATTCTGTCAGGGCAGCTGAGTTCCAGCAAAAAAGAAATTGAAAGATTAGAACAAGAACTGAAAAGGTAAAGTGAGGACTTATTTTGTTTCTCCTAACCTCCAATCACTTATTTTCTCCCGTTTTCCTCTTTTCACGTGGCTTTTATGGTCTTTCAGTTTCTCTTCATCTTACATGTTGTTCAAATCTTGTGACCAAAATTTCAAAACTTCATCCTGTTTTTATATATGCATATGTGAGCTGTTATGTAGATCTGTATGCAGCTTGAAGCAGTGATTGCCTATGGGTTGCCCCTAATTAAGGGGGGAATTCTGCAACATCTGATGAGGAATGGAAACATCCATTCTGCATTAGCAAAAAACGATTTAGTACAGCTGAGTAACTTTGCAAAAGTATATTTTGCACTTCCCTTACAACTCCAAGCCCTTTGCGTGGATAACTTAAGATCAAGACTACTTAAAATTATGACAGCAGGAAGAAGAAAGGGTGAGCATTTCTTGGAGTGGAAGAAGAAACTTCTAAACGCAGTGGTGCTGTGACCAAATAACTACATCCAGTTGATGAAATAAAGAAGTGATTCCTGCTGCATTATCTACTAAAATGGAGGTTTGTGGGAGAGTTAGACATCTCTGCTCTGTGGAAACACTTTTTTCTTTATAGAGGAAACACTGCCTTTGTACTGATAGGTGCCTTATCCAACTGTACTCTTCCATAGTTGTGGTTCCAGATAATTGTTTTTGTTATTGCTTTGTCTTTTGTGTTACAGCGAAGTTGATGAAAAAGCACCTCAACTTGTAAATATTATCAGATTTATGGCACAGGGGCTATGTAAGTATGCTGTCTAGAAAGAAACACAGGACATCCTGAGCTGACGGGTTCCGCAAGGACGAATTTCAAATTCTGGCTTTATATAAGACCACTTAAAATGCAAATCCTGTGTCTGATAGCATTGTCCAAATGTTTCTTAAACTTCAGCAGTCTCGGGGCTGTGACCTGAGCCTCTGAAGAAAATAGACCCTACCAGGCTATTTTCTCATGTCCTTTTTCTGTCACTGGAGAGAAGAGATCAGCACCTGCTCCTGTGCTTCCCTGGTGAGGGAGCTGTCAGCCATCTGAAGCCTCCCCTCAATTTGTTATTCTCTGGGCAATCATCGTTGCCCTCTAGACCCTTCCCCATCTCTGTAGCCTTCCTTTGGATGCTTGATAGCTTTGTCTTTATAAGAACTACACACAGTACCTGAGGAAAGGCTTCACCAAAGCAGACAATCCTTCCCTTACCTGGCTGGCAGCACTGGGCCTGGTGCACGCTAGTGTATGATAGGCCCTTTTGGCTGCCAGAGCTCACTGCTGACTCATGTTCAACTCACTGTCATCCAGAATCTCCAGATCCCTTTCATGGGTCTGCTCTCTAGCCTCTTGTTTCCCCTCAGAGAAGTTAACGTCATCATCTGTTAAACTTTTTCTCATACTGGAGATATGCCCTATTCTTAAATAAAAGCATTTCTGAAACATGCGTGTCAATAAAGTTGAGTATCCTGTGCACACGAGAAAGTGTTGTGCTGATAATAGTAATGCAGAATTATTATCTCAGAGGGGTAAGCCTGTGATGCCAACTTGTTTAATGCTTGTCATCATGGCCTGAAGTATGTTTATTTCCCTCAACTGTTGGAAGGTGTACTTCTTACTGTCCTTATAAAGGCAAATAAAGGGAGCTGTTGGAGGCTTCTTTCTGTTTCTCTGTTTGCCTTCTTTTTTTTCCTCTCATTTTTTCCCCCTCTTTCCCCATTCTGAGAAAACAAGGGGATCTTGAGGAATTTTACTGTTATGAATTACATTCACAAGGAGATTCTAAATTTCAGCAACAATTTATGATATGTAGAAACACCAACCTTATGCCAGGGATTGCTGAGATTCTTTGAAAAAGAATCCAGTGTGATTGGCAAGGTTGGTATAGCCACGCTGATGAAATATAGAACAAATCTGCTGTCAAAGGCTGCCATGAGAGGTTACAGCTTAAGGGTATGTCTCATCCATTTTGAAAGCTGTAAAGAGACAACTTTACTGAGTTCTTTGATTTCCTTTATGGTTTACGTGGTTGTCTGCTGTGGTATTACAAGTATTATGTACAGCTCAACTGGCTGTCAGTTTTGATTTTGCATTTGGTTCTGTTTTATACTGACTGATTGTGTGATGTTATTTACCACCTCATAGCAACTGATAACCTACTGGGAGAAGAATTTTTAACTTTGTTATAAAACGGAAGGAAAAAATGATTAGGAAGTTGTGGAGTCACTACTATTATGGACTGCAACCTGAAGCCGTTGTCTTATCAACCTGTGCTTGCTAGGCAGGACTGAGATTGCTGTTCCATTACAACAATTCCTGTATAACTTCTAAACAAGTTATAAAGTTTCCAGGAGTGAGCTTCAACTCTTCATGCTCACAAAAATTGGTTCTTGTTCAGAATTGATTTTTAAATTTGGTACTTGAAATAGTATAATTTATTTGTGCGTTTCAGGCTCTTAAAAATAGATAACTGACTTCTAGTTTTCTGGTTTCTATTAGTAACTACTCCTCCTGCTTCTTTCCTGAACAGATACAAATGTGAGCTTGAGAGAAGTCAGCAGTCACTGATTGCAGCAGACTTGTCGTTCAGTGGTACTCCACAGAAAAGTTTTACTGCTCCTTTAACGCCAGTTCAAAGTCACAATGGTAAATGATTTTTTTTCTTCATATAGCACTGTCAATTTTCTTGGAAGGTGAGAGAGCTATATTAAGCACACAAGTGAACTGTCTTGCCTAGTCCATATTATATAGCATATTGCGAGGGTACCTGGTTCCTAACATCATAAACTCCAACTTTAAAAATTATTAGTGCAGGTTGATCTCTTACAGCAAATACTAAACCTTTTAAACACTACGCTGATGGGCATGAAACAGTAATGGGAGTATTTATCAACAGACTGCAATAGTTTTTTGAATGTTTGTTCATAGTGTCAGCTGTTTCTTTCATATAGCAAAGAACAAATTTCTTCTCTTTCACCTAGTATATGTGCTTCAACTAAAATTGTCAACAGTCATTCGTGTTCTTTATACGACTGTTTTTGACTTCGGCTATTATTGTACATAATAATCTGAACACTTATAACAAAACCTCTGTATCCGCATCAAAGCATCACTTATATCTTCAGGTTAGTGACATTAATAACAGCTGTGTATTAAGTTATGTTTTAAAGAAGTATTCATCATTTCTTTGTAGATGCTAAGTTTGAAGAATTAGAAGAAAAATATAAGAAAGAAGTACAAGAAAGAAAGAAGCTGGAGTTAGAACTGAGAACCATCCAAGCTAAGGTAAGTATGTTTTGAAAAGGGCATGTGTGATATCTAAGACAATTACTACTGATTAAACTTGGAAAATTGAGTGAAAACCAAGTGAAATACATTTTTTCATCACTTAAAAATAATTAGAATATATATTTCTTAAAAAAGCTAATTATTACTATGTAAAAAGTAACCTAAAGCCAGCGTAATTGAATAGCAAAACAATGAACTTTAAAAAGGAGAGCACATCCTTCAAAATGAGTGAAGCATAGGCAATGAAGAACAAATGAAAATGGTGCCAGTTTGGGCATCTTAAATGTGATAAGATAGTAAAATAGTCTTGAAAAGATTACAAGAAATAACTTACCCAGCAAACAATAATCAGTACAGTTTTTAATGTCTGAGAAGTAGGAAGTATCTTAGAGGATCTCTGAAGCCAGTAAATGACTAAGATGTAAAAGCCCTCAAAAATGAAGCAAATATATAGTTTTTACTAGATAGTAAATCTAAAGGCTTAAAAAGCTTCCTATGTTAAAGTTGTTCTTTGTAGCAGCTGTGAATCTCTAGCATAACCTTAAACTGAGGTCAGAACAAGTCTTAAAAACAACTGATAAAAAAGAATAGTGCTATAAAGATAATCAGATACAGATAGTATCTCTCCAGCGAAGTGATCACAGCACCAGGCTATTGGAAATCAAGAAGTGTTTAGACAGTGTTCTTAGGCATGAGGTTTGAATGTTGGGCAGTCCTGTGTGGAGCCCTGAGTTGGATTTGATAATTGTTGTGGGTCCATTCCAACTTGGGTTATTCTATGATTCTAACATATGCCAGTGAATTCATAGGGCGCTCCAAAGTGAACTGGCTGAATCGCTGTGATGACACCTAAATTCAGTCTCCTCTTGTCACTACAAGGTGAAAATATGTGGCTTATTGTGGTGGCTATGTTGAAAAATAGTGCTTTGTAGCTGAGAAGTTGCTCTATCAAACAGTGTTATTGTGCTCTTCAGTGCTGTAGCTTCAGTAGAGGTAAACAGGAGGCATTACTTACAGAGTGACCTAATTGGTCTCCTTGTTTTGGAGATCCTGATCTGTGTTGATAAGTACTTGGTATGCTTCAATTACAGTACTTTAATTTATGTAGTATAAAAAGTGGCAATATCAATGAGTAATTTGCACTGATGGATGATGTGTTGTCGCAACAATGTGAAATGATCACAACCTATTATTTGGTTATTAGTAAGTGGATTTTTTTTATATGTCAGCTGTATGAAGTTAGATCTCTTGCTTTTTTTTATTTCTTGGTCACAGAAAACAAATCAGCCTTATCTTCAACAAAGCTCTTTGAGTCACAGGGAGATCGCTCGGCATCAGGCTTCTTCATCTGTGTTTTCATGGCAACAAGAAAAAACGCCGTCTAGAAATCAAGAAACTCCTGCAAAAAGAACTTCTTCAACACCCTATTTTCCATGGGAAAAAGAAGCCAATTTGAGTATAATATCAGAGAAGAGCAAGCTTGACAACAGCTTTTCTGAGGATTGTAACTCTTCACTCATCATCCAGCTAAGAGCCCAGAACCAAGGTATCTGATATATTTCTTTAAAATTCAGAGGCTCATGGTTTCGTGCCATTTCATGCCATGTGGATAGAAGGGAGTTAGCGGAATTGGTCTCTTACTGAGGGAAAGGTACCTGTTGTTTCCTTTGGCAATTAGCCCAGCTGGCTACTTGTGTGTGTATTCACGAAGACCAGCCAGATGAGATTACCCATAAGCTGTGGTATCTTTTACATAAGGGGTGTGAGAGTTGGAAGGAGAGATTTTTGGGTGAGCAGAGGACATCACATAAAAATTAGAGGAGGATAGCCTTCTCTAATGATTCCGTGGCTTTTGGAACAATTCTTTTAGAGCTAAAACATTTCAGGATTTAATTAAAACTCACTGTTGAAATCGATCATATTGTTTCCTTAATTTTGTATGATTGAGTTTTATGGCTGAGCAGTATCTGCATTTAAAAATTCATTCATTAAACATTCTTAATGCATAATTAAATTTGTCTATGAAGAACACTACGGGGAAATTCAGGACAGAGTGATACCAAAAATCCAAAGGTAAAGTTAAGCATGATCTTGCTTTATGCATGTTGACATGAAGAAAGACCTTTTCTTCTGATATCTAATCTCTTCTGGTGATCAGATATTTGCTTGGTTATGGTAGCAAATGACTTAAATCTGCTATTTGGACTAGTTTTTCCACTGGATGTTTCTTGTAGATTTAAAAAAAAAAAAAAAAAAAAAACAGTTTCTGTATCTTTGTTTATTTAATTGCCTACATATGAAGTTTCAGCCTGGGCTATACTTTCCAGTTTAGAAGCCTTAAAAATTTAGCATCAGGAGGACAGGTCTTTAAGTTAAAAAAAAAAAAGGAAGAAAAAAAGGAGGAAACATATGTATAAGCACTTAGTAGTAATTCTTAATGACAGTTCTGTAACTGACTAATGCTTTCTATCACAAACTTGTTGTGATTTTGGAAGACACACTCTTGCTGATTTATGCTATGACAGGATTACTTGATTTTACTTTCAATATGTATAGCTTTAGAGACAAGAATAGTATTAAGAAGTAAAACACTCTATTTGCAGGTGCTCAGTAGTTGAAAAGTCTCTTTGAAGCAAAGGCTCACTGTTGTCCCAAGGAAATGTTTGTAGTGGGTGCCTTTCCTTTAAAAATAAACAGAACTGAACTGAAAGTATTTATCCAGAGATATGTTTCTGTATTTTTAAAAACAAAGAAGGGAAAACCAATAGCAAGAGAACAAATAATCTTTTGCCTTTGCAGCATTTTGGCCTGACTTTTTCTTTGCTCTCCTATGTTACAGAGTGGAACTTGTCAATTTAGTCAACTATCCTATTCCTATGTTCTGCTTGCTGAACATTTTGCAGTGTCTGTTTTTGTCAGGCATTAGATTGTTATCAGACATTCTCAGTATTTCAGAATTTATAGACTCCTGTCATAGAGGAAGTATCCTTAATCTTGTCTGTTTTTAAAATTCAGAGCTAAATTCCAATGTCAAAGACCTAGAACAACAACTGCAAGCTCTAGAAAAAGAGAAGAAATCTCATATGAATAAGCATCAAGAGGTTGAACTTCAGCTGGATGGAACAAAGCTGGAATTAACGGAGAAGAATAAGATCTTGAACAAAACCAGAGATAAACTGACTCAGATGAAGACACAGTTTGATCAGGCTACCGCACAGGTGAGATATTGCATCACACATCTTCTGAGTGTCCTTAAAGTTCAATCTCAGTATTAACGTGTGTCAGCTTTCAGCTATTTTGGTAAGAATCAGGATACCCTGACAACTTTCTTGAGCGTTTCCTGAGGATCCAGTTTTGACAAGAAAATGCTAGTTTACGTATTGCCTATAAGTACTCATAAGCATATATAACTGACTGTTCATAAGCTGATGTCCATTTTCTGAAAGGTTCATACTCTACTTGAAGAAATACTTTCCATTCTTTACTTGTAGCCTTCAGGCAAGTTTGGCTGGAGTTCTGAAAAATATTTTTAGATTAAATTGCATAGAGCAACAATGACATCTGGTGGCAAGTTTTAACCGTGAAGAATCTGTCATACAACTTTGGCTGAAAATCAGTATGTGCTGCCTGAACTACAGTGTGTTGTGATGGCATAGTCTTTGCATTTTTAAACGACTTGTGTGAACTAAAATATGGGTTAAAATGTCATGTAAGATGACGTTGAGAGAGTATATAATCTTAAAATGTGATTTCATGACCTAATCCTAAGCAATTTTCATTCATAGGCATACAAAGTGAAGCTTTTTTTTAAAAAAAAATAACTGCGTAATACAACTTGGTGAATTTATTTAATCAATAATTTTGAGTTTATTTAAATATAAAATACATACAAGCAAAATCATTCAGAGTTTTGCACATAATAATGCAAAATAAAGAATACTACTTAAAATCTTTAATTTCAAACTGTAGAAGTTAACCAGTGTGAAGTTTTCTTCTTACTGATTATTTGAGTTGCAGTACCTACCTGCAGTCTCTTTTCGCAGCAGTTGACAAATAGGAAAATAGGGCAGAAGTCATAATTATTTGAATCTATGATTTAATGTCAGATACAGCATGTTTCTGTAGGCTGTCAAGGAAACTGTAGATAGTTCTGGGGCAAAAAACTGCTATAAATAGAATGATCTTTAATAAATTACTCTCTTTGTCCTCAAACTTCATGTCATCAAAGATGTGTTTTTTCTGAAGGTGATTTTATCTCTTTCTATTTTTCCACTGATATATATATTATCATTTTTTAGTACCTTGGATTACTAAGAATTTCTGATACCATGCAGAGTTCCACTGTAGTTTATTTGGATGCTAGAACAATTGTAGTAAGTGAAATTAGTCTTTTTATTTGAATGGAAATGAACTAAAATAAAACTTCACTTGTACTTTTAATGCTTGGGCTTGATTATTTTAGGTCCAAGCAATGGAGCAAAAGATGAAAAGATTGTCAGAAGAACTGAATTGTCAAAGACAAAATGCTGAGAGTGCTCGTCAGTCCTTGGAACAGAAATTAAAAGCAAAGGAAAAGGAATACCAAGAGGTAAGACAAGAAGAACTTTTCTAAATTTTGACTTGCTGAGGAGATGAAATCACATGGCTTTTTTGTTTGTTTTTTGTTTGTTTGTTTTTTGTAACTACTTTCCAGTTAACTGCAATCACACTTAATAGGTAAAAGATTCAAAGGTAATTGGAAAAATTGAGAACTGCAGAGAGGAAGGGCTACCAGAGAGATGCAAAATTATTTATTAGTGTTTATTAGGTATTATTTTGTTTGAGAGGTATGGTTGAAATGCAAATATGCAAGAATCTATGTTACACTGACCACAAACCTGCTATATATGTGACTTCAAATGTAATAATCCAGTTATTCGTTTGTGTAGAATCTTAGTTAACTTTTCCTGTGTCTCACATATGACAAGCAAATTTCTTGAGGATTGTTTCTCTCTTCTAATCTTGGTTTGTGCTCAGAAGATGGTAAAATATGAGATTAACTTATCTGTCCTTAGCTTTTTCTTTTTGTCAGCTAGTGCAGAGAGAAAAAGTCTAGCAGTATCCCAGGAAAATTAGTGAAGTTTGTTTATGTGTTTGTTTAGTTGAACGCTGATTCGGATGAGATCCAAACTTAATCAGTGCTGGAAAATTCAAAAGATTTTGTACTGATGATGATACTTTGGATAGGTATTTTAAGTTTTTTTTAGGTACTGAGAAGGAGACTGTCCTGAGGAACAACTGCTGTTGTCAAATGCTTGTTCTTAAAGTTTTTCTCAGAGGTATCCTTAAGAAGACTAAACCACTGGCAGCAGTTCTGCTGGAGTGGCTCATGAACAATATTTCTAATGAAAAAACAGTTTCACAAAATCTAACCGAGATCTCAAAGATAAACAGAACCTTGTCTAGAAGAGGTCATAAGATCTTTGAATAATTGTTGAATATTGGAAATTCTCATCTGTATATTTTACTTGGTTGGGATTTTTTCATTCTGTGAAAGCTAAATCCTGGTCCTACTAAATTCTGTCCTATAAAAGCTTGCTTGTAGGTTTCTTATTCATTTCGGTTTCTACAAGGTGAGTTTCCAATATGTGTTTAATTAATTTCCATAATGGCAAATGCCTGGGGCTTCTAAAGCCTTTTTTCTTAGCTGGTAACCTAACCTGGTTTCAGAGTTGCACTTGCATCGGTATGTAATTTCAAATGTTTTCTGTCAATTTTCATTTGAAAGCTTACATCCAATTTCCAAACTGAAAAGGTGGAACTTGTATCTTCCCTTACTTCTGGCATTTGAAATTTAGATGTCCATCTAAGCTAGTTATTTAGGCCTCTGCTTTACCTTGTGTTATCAGAGGCACCTCCAGAAGGCAGGTTATTCCTGCCGCTTTAGATGTTTGTCTTCACAGTTTATCTGAATTTTTGCTGAGAATGGAAGAGAGTCTCCCCTGTAAGCTTAGAGGTATGTAGCTAACTTTTGGATATCCAAAAGTAAAGGAACTATTTTTTTGTTGTTTTGAGTATTTGTCAAAAAAAAAAAAAGATTTTTTGCAGTTTCTCTCTTGTACTCTTATGGTTTAAAAGCCAAGGTCTTTTCAGTCCCTCAGCTTTAGAAATAATTATTGTATTGCTATGGGATGTAAAGACATTGAATTAATCTCTTCATTAATGAGTTCACTAGGGCCCAAAGGGCTTCCTTGCATGCACTCAAGAAGTGCTTCTGGCCAGAGGTTTGCAGAAGAGCTCTTTAGATCTAATATGTACTCTATTCAGTGTTAGTAACTAGCATTAGCTAAAGTGACATCGAGCTGTTGTCACACCTTTTCCTTCCAAATTATACAGTGCTTCCGTCACCTTCTTGTGTGGGAATATAATTACAGGTTTATCTACATCAGGTTCTACACAGAAGAATGGTGTGTAACCAATGCATATTTTTAGCAAAGCTTAGCAAAGATTGATGCTGCAATTTATATAGAATTACAACTGTAATATCCAAAGACATAAGAACAGACCAAATGGAAATTGCAATCGTGATTGTTTTTCTTAATTGATACCTACTTGTTGTGTTGTAAGAACCACATGAAATGTATTGTTCTTCTACAGGTTTTACAAAGTCTGTTTTGTGCCATTTTCACAAAAGACTGCCTTTGTTAGTCTCTTGTTGATTAGTGCCATGCTGGTTATTATTTTATAAATAAGTATGAATTTCCCTGGGGGGAAAAATATCATATCTACAGTGTGATATATAAGTAATGGTAAAGAAGAGTTGATTTTGTCCACTTGTAGCATAAAGTGGGTCTTATTTGAAACACATCTGTAAGATAACAAATTTTAATACTTACTTTCACTAGATCTAGGTATTTTTTTCTCCCCTTTTCATGATATGACTGTTGCTATAATGGAGTTTTTCAGTAGATCACACAAACTGAATTAGAACCATGCTTGTCCATTTGCAGCACAAAACAAAGTTGTATTTGAATTATTTATTGTGTAAGAGGAGTGTTTCTGAGCTGGCAGTATCTGCAAATCAGTATCTTTTTGTTATAGCTCCAGTAACAAAAATAGAGACTTGCTGCTGTTTTATGTACTTATTTCTTCTCTACTCTATCACTGTCTTCTAGGAGCTTTCTTGTCAGCAACGTTCCTTGCAAAAGCTGGATCAGCAGAACAATGATGTAAGAAACAAACTGAATCAGGAGCTACAGCAAGCCAAAAATGACTTCAATGCTCTGCAGGCAGAATTTGACAAAGTAGGTTTTTGTATTAAATACTTCTACTACTGCTAGAATTTAGTGGTCTTGACAATACTGAACAAAGTAAATAATAATAATTAATGTGGGGATTTACATTAATATTTTGTGCAGTTTGTATTAGCTGCTTTGTATTTACCATTTCTCACTGCAGTGCTATGTATTTAAATGTGAATTACAGAATTCAAAAGGCTTGAGGTTAGTCCACTTTTCACAGGGAAGGAGAGCAGTGCCACTAAAATAAGTCTGTTGAATGAGACAAGAGTAACTATAGCTGTTCACAAGGAACACCTTGTACAGGAAACCTGCAGAGGTGCAACCTGATGGTAGAACTAAGCTGATCTACAGGTAGTCAGCTGACTCTTGGAACTATAGCTTCCAAGGAAGTATTTCATATACTCTTGGTCATGCACTCATGTTACTTCCTTTATAGCAGCACCTGCACACATTCAAACCTGCAGAGAACTGATAGATCTAAAAAAACAAAGAAAACAGAAATTACATGTGTATATGGGCATAAGAGTTTTCCATCAATTTGACTGAAAAGACTCTTCATAAAATCCAGATTATTGTCAAAGCTTGTGTGAGGGACACTTTGAATGTTTAGGGAGATCTTCCCCAGTTTTGGCAGCAGGTAGCCATTAGGTCATATTAGTTATGATGGAGCCACAATTTTAAGGAAGTTATAATGCAGCAGAAGCCTAGAAGAAAGGAAGACTAAAAACGGTATGTATTTAAGGGTCAGAACGCTTCTGGTTGCAGCTATAAAGCAGCAGAGCTAGCTGAACTAGTAAGAAAAAAAAAAGTCATGAGTCTGAAAGTTGTGTTGAGAAGACCCATTAGCAGGGAGGCTGAACTAAGACAGTATTTCTGGAAGTGATTACATTGTTAAATGTTTTCAGTGTAGGTTTTTAATATACATTTTTCTTGAGTGTATGCTACTAAAGAAATTGGTTTCATATTGAAAAATAGGTACTTTATAGTTCTTTCTACAAGAAAGCTGATTTATTATCCCATGACATCAGAATTATTATAAGTATGAAGTATGACTACATATTTTTCTTGCTTTCTTGTTTTGACTTGCTAATCGTATTTCCTTTCTTTGAAATCTGGAGCATTATAGGACTATTTTGAAAGAGGGAAGGCCTGTTCAGTTTCTCTAAAACACTGTCCATAGAGCGAGAAGTGCAGTTGTGGTGCTTAATTTCTGATTTCTATAGCTTAGCAAAAAGGCTGTTATGCCTTCAGTCTCATTTATATCCTACAGTCATATAATCTACATTGTGGTGATGTATCTGCTAATTGAATGTACTCATTTGTCTCAGAAAATCTGTATTTATTTTAGAGATATGACACCTTTCTGGAGGTAAGGGGCAGAAAGGCAATAAGAAGTTGTTTTCTAAACCACAGTGCAGCAGCCTTAGGTCCAAGGTGGAATAAAGTAATGTAGTTTTGTTTTACTTTGTAATAGAATTTTAGAGTTTATGCATGGGAGTTTTAAAGGAAAAAGTAAATTTTCAATACTCTTACAGGTAATGGCAGTGAAACGACGTTTGGAACGTGATACCAGTGATCTTACCCAGAAGCTGTGCAGAGCAGAACAGGCTTTGCTAGCAGCCCAAGCTAAGGAAACGGATCTCACAAGAACTTCTGAGGTAAGCAATGCAGAGGAGTAACAGAGTTGTTATTATAAATCACCAATCTGTGATGGACTGTCTATAAAGTATCTTTAGACACTTCTTATGAATTACCTTAATAACACAAAAATTAGGTCTTCACTAAGTTCACGTACACTAATTCAGCTTGTGCAATTGTCTGGTGGACTGGGATACAATATTATAATTCCATTCAACACTCTTCATGTTCACGTTAGACTTCTTTTACCGAATGTGGGCTTTTGTTTTAAGATATTCCTGCTTTTAGTCCTGAAATAAAAATACATAAGTGTTTGTTTGATTTTAGAAGTACATTCTACAACCATTAGTGCATACTACTGAACTTTAAAATCATATACAAATGCTCACTATGTTGTCTTAAAATGACTGCATTTTTCTAAAAGGAAACAGAATCCCAGATGTTTACACCACTCTAAATACTTCCCTCAAAATGAAGATAAATTCAGAAAGATCTTTATCTTTTAACGTGCAACCTCATATTCATAGAGGCAGAAATCTTTTCCTGTCTTACCTGCCTTTGTCTTTTCAGTTCCACTGTTTTGCTTATGTAGCAGAGAATCTACAGTAAAAACTATTACAGGTGTGCTACTATGGTGAACCACTAGGTGATGGAATTTTTGTTTTCTGCTTCTGGTTAAAGGAAAGAAAGCCTATGGAATCTATGAAAGAAACCTATGGAATCTATGTCAAAGATTTGTTTAAATATTCTCAGTTGGCTCAATGCCTGTTGTCATGAGCAGATATAAAATCTGATATGATTTCTGCCAAAAATTCTATGAACAAATTTGAAGTACTGTAGGTGTTGTTTTTTTTTTTACCCACTAGCGCTAACACTGATACAGCTTTAGTATATTGTGAAACTTTGGTTTAGGTACAATCATGCTGGTAGACTACAATGTCTGGAAATGTTCCCAGTTATTGGAATGTGGCTATTTAAGCTGTTAATTGTTAGAACACTATTTCACATGGCTTTGGCCCAGCTGACTAGCACTCTTGTACAATTCCCAGGCACAGTTTGAGAGTTCACATGAGCCAAGGGCCATTCCCAGCAAACAGTTTGGTTACAGCCACCTGCTTTGGAAGATACAAGATTTTAGTGGTACAGATATGGACTGTCTCATGTCACTTGGCCTCAGTGCTGGATAGTCCTCCTTGGCACATGTTTATTTAGTAAAAAAACATAACCAGTGCCTTCTAGTGGAAATGCTGATCAAGAACACTTTTGTTCTTCCTGTGTATAACAAAACAGAAAAGCCTCTAGAAAGCTTCAGCACAATCTCAGTGTAATCTTTCATACTGAAAAAAGAATGAGGAAAAGAAGAGAAATCATGTATAGCAAATATTACAGGCAAATATTACATGCCTTTTCCTGTTTTGAAATTATAAAGTGAGGCTTGAGAGGGACACTTGTGTTTTTTTTCCTTCGGATGCTGCTGACAGAGAACATCTTAATTTGTGGAGATGCTTTCTTTACTGCAAGTTCTTGGCAGTGCTGGTTTTTTATCTACTGATCTTTTATCCATTGTATTGGTCTGTAGCTGCAATCGTGCTTTTCTTTGTATTTGTTTGTCTTGGCCAGACAATTAAACAGCTGGTGATAGTGATATTGTTTTAGAACATTTCATGATACATTTATAAAGAACCTGAATCTTGGGATGTAGTGATACTTGAAAAGATCAGTAATGCTGCAGTTTTCTCTCTGTCTTGACTTGCATATGATATTACGGTGTATGTTGCAAACCTGGCTTGTCATCCTCAATCATAAATAAGTGTAATAAGAAAAAAAAACCCAAACCATCAAATTGTTTTGAAGTCCTGGAGGTTTTGTTGACTGTAGATTCTGTTTATAGCAGTAGAAGATGAGATTGAGATTGTCTTTAGATTTACTGTAGAGAGAGGTATAGAATATTGCAATTATGTTCTAGCTTCTTATTGGAGAATACCATTGTTTTGTGGTGGTTAATACAGGTCCACTGCTGCATTCACTCCTTACTGTGTAGGACTGACATTTCAAAATATTGCAAAATAGATGCACTTGTGAGACAGACTAGATATGTTCAGTTTAAGGACCGGTAGGCTTTGCAATCATGGTATCTCTGTGATGTAGCAGTTATGGCATCTTATGATATAGCTTACATTTTGATGGTGCTAGCAAACCCGTGGCTGTTAATGGAAAAAATTGGTCAGTCTGTCCCTGTACTGCTCAGTCTGCCCACTGAAGACTTTCTCCTGAACAGTAGTACTATGCGTATATTTTCTGGAGCTCAGTTTAGTTCTTTGATTTTTTTTTCAAGTCATGGTTGCAGAATGGATAAATTGAGCAAAACATCATAGAAATAGAGTCATTAACTGGATCAAAACCAAATTGATTTCATTTCTTATAGCTTTGGAAAATGCAAATGGAAAGTTGTTATCATATGCTTTGATAAATTGTGGCTTCTTGGGCTTTGCTGAATGCTGTTAATTGGGAATGTTTTGCACTGAATCAAAATAATTGGACTTCTCAGCTGTTTTAATTTCTTAAACTTATCTGTTCTTCTGTAAATAGATCACTCCAGGTTTTCTAATGAACAGGCATGTTTAGTTTCTATACTTGTATTTTCATGCAGCACTTGGAATGCGGGATGTTTTGGCACTTGTAACTTGAGAAATTATTGTTGGGATAACTAGAAAACTTTGTTCCTTGAAAATTTTGTGACTTTTTTTTTTTAACTCTGAGTTGGGAAGGCTATGAGTAGAAGGAAAGTTAACTGTTTATGACAGTGACAATTTTAATCATGTTCTGAGGATGATTTATTTATGTTGCTTCGAAAACAAGCCTGCCATGCCAGCAAGCATTTAATATTTTTCATCCAGACGTTTCTGTTTCTTGAGCTTGGCTTTTGTGAATTGCTGTCCATCTGCTAGTAGTAAATGGATGAATAATAGACGACCTGTTTCCAATTGGGCCATGCCAGTGCCATGCCATCTGTTGTCCAGCAGTACAGGAGTTTGGAGAAAAAGGATTCATTTCCCTACAAGAACTTTTGTTTCATTTCCCACATGCAATGGCATTGTACAATTAACTATGTATATATTTTTAAACTCAATTTATTTGGAAGAAAGTACTCCTAATGGCAAAACAACCCTCTGAAATTGTAAGCACTTCTAAATAAAATGTGAGCTTTGTTGCTATGGTGATGTTTTTTCTGGTTTAATGAGAAGTTGTCTCTGTGTGAGATGTGAAATTTAATCTGCAATTTTCTTTCTGATTTTGATGCCATTTTAGGGGGTTTGTTTCCTTTGTTTCTTCAGATAGAGCAGCCTTACTTAATCAACTCTGATTTTGTAGGATATGTTCTATCCTGTCTGCTTGGGCAGTTATGTGGAGCTGTTTGTTGTATGTAAACAATGGGTACCTAACAATGTCAACTGGCAGCATCCCTGAGAGACTGTCAACTAGTTAAGCTCTCATTCAATAAATGTTCTCAGGCATTTGGAACCCAAGACCAGCTGCCTGGAGAGGACTTAGTGGAATAGTTTCCTTCTGACTTAAATGAATAAAGTTCTTTGAACTTCTTAAAAAAGTATATGAAATGTGTTTGTTCTTGATATTGTTTCAGGAAGTGAAGAAGGAGAAGAATCTTCTTGATGTACAGTATGAAAAAAAACTGCGAGAAATCCACCAGCTTGAAGAAGAACTAGGAGCAGTCAAGCAATCTCTAAAGCAGAGCCAGAATTTTGCAGAAGAGATGAAAAGTGAGTTATGGTTTTAAATTTGCATGTCCCTTGTTACTTTCTTAACAATGCATGTTTTCTGCAATACTATAAGTTTGATTGTAAATTAAGAAAAAAGATTTCTACCATGGGAAATGATTATGATGATATTTTTAACCTTTACCAATGTGAAAATGAATTTTTTGTCTAAACATATGCAATTTCTGAAGATATATAATTTTGAAAGTAACTGAAGCACAGTCACCTTAGCAGCAAGATGAATTTCATAGAATATATTTAAACCAGGAAACTTCTATTTTCTTATTATGTGTTTGAATTCTTTAAGGGAAAAAAAAAAAAAAGAGGAAAGCATTATGTAAGCACTGATACTTGGGTGTTCCTTGCAGTGGCTGGTCCTAATCAAGAACAAATTTTTACAGGAACTAAGTAGAAATACAAAATATACTTTTTAGTTCCGCAGAATCAGATGAAAGGCTATGGATTTCCACTTCTTTCTGTGCAGATTCAAACTTCGTGTGAGATCTCAAAGGAAGGCTTTTGAAGTTGATTCTTTTCTCCTGAAAATTAATCACCGAATTTATCACCTGAAAGGCAATGATGCTTCTGACTGGCAATTTGCATCTTTTATCAGCTATCTAGTGAAATGTAGTGTCCTTTTCATTATTCTCTACTATTCTCTATTTCTTATCAAAGCAGTGTAACAATGATGGCAATCTGAAAAATGATTGTAAATATATTTTTTATCAGAAAAGGAGTAGGAGACTGATCCAAGACAATGGGTCTGGATCCATGAGAATGTATCTGGAATGTTATAGGTATTTAAAAAAATAATGGTGAGAATGAGGCAACAGATAGCAACCTGACAAGTTATGTACTGACTAGACTGTAGCGCAGACTTGTATCAGGCTGTAGAACTGGAAATGGACAATGTCTATGAATATACAGTGTCAGATAGCCTGAAGAGATATGAATAATCTTTTTTTTTTTCCAGTGAGGCATTATAACACTATATACACTATATAACACTAATACACTGCACTAGAATAATTAAAAACAGTAAAAGTAAGTGGTCATTTTTCAGTTACAAGACTATCAAATTGGCTAATAGTGTCTAGCAAAGTTCTGACAGTGTTCTCTGTTGCAGATAAGAATACTTCTCAGGAAGCAGAGCTGAAGTTACTAGAAGAGAAATTTATGAAGCAAGAGAACTCCCTTTCCTTGGAGAAACTGAAACTAGCCTTAGCTGACATGGAAAAGCAGCAACATTCTACTGATAATCTGCTCAAGGAGAAAGAAAATCATATTAAAGAACAAAACTGTAAAATAAGTAAAATGGAGGAAGAGTTGGAAGCTTTGCAGAGGCTCCTTGGATTTAAGCAGAAAGAATGTGAAGAATTAAAGAAAGAAACAAATGTTTTTTCTCAATGGAGAAATGAAAATGATCATGTTATAAATAAACTTAAGTTGGAAAAGGAAGATATGCTGATTCATATTAGTGACTTGGAGAGTTCCCTCCAAAGCCAGCAAATTGAAAATCGTGAACACAGTGAGAAATTCAAAATAATGGAAACTGAAAGAGACAGGAAGAACATAGAAATCAAAGAGCTCAGAGACATGCTAGGATGTAAAAGTGCAGAATTAGAAGAACAGAAAAAAGTTTGTGATGAACTTCGACAAGAAGCAGAATGTTCCAACAAAAAGTACTGTAAAGACATAGAAAATATGTCCTGTAAAATATTACAGCTTACCAACCAAGTTAGTGAGCTAGAAGAAAAGATACAACTACTAGCAAGTGAAGGATTGCAAAGGGAGCAATGTTATCATGAACTGCTTGGTGAATATGAAAAAATCTGCTGTCTTGTGAAAGCAAAATATACTTCTGAAATGACAGAAGATAGAGGTGATTTACAAAGTGGTCAGGATGAAACTGTTCTAGATAATAAGCAACTAGCAGCAAATAAGCCTGTTGCCAAGGGTCATGGATGTGCAAGAGCACTGCTAGGAATAGAAAAAATGAAGGATCTGATGGTCTTACAGGATCAGATCTCTTCTCTTGAGATTTCCCCAATGGTTCAAAAGCAGCTGAACTCAGATCAACAGCACCAGGATGAAGACTTACTGCAAACTGAGAGTGAAACAGATGGAAGATTATGTGATGTAAAACAGAGGCATGAAAGCTTTGTAACAGAAACTAACCAGCACATTAGTAACTTTCAAGCAGATATTTCAGCACATCAGAAATCTATTAGAAAAACAGTCACTATTATTGAGGAAAAGGACATGGAACTGCAATCTCTGAGAGAGAGACTGAAAACCCAACAAACAGAGCTTCAGGAATTAAAGGTCAATAATAAATTCCTTGAGGATTCAGTAAGACAGCTGAAGCTCATGTCTGAGGCATGGGGTTCAGAGAAGAAGGGCATGTCTTCAGTGATTTGTTCATATAGCAAAGAAATTGAGGAACTTACTGAAGAAAATGCAACCCTTAAGGATTTAAGCAGAGATTTAGAACAAAACCAAATAACTCTACTGGAAGCAAATAGAAATATTTCTAATAGTTTAAAGGAAAAAGAAGAAATAATTTCTGAAATGTCCAGAAAACATGAGGAGGAAAAACAATGTATGGAAGCAAGAACTGAAGAAATCTCAAGAGAGCTGAAGATTTTGCAAGCACGGTATAAACTGGTAGAAGAAGAAAATGTAAATGTGATGAGCATTCTGAGAGAACAGACCATTGTATTTGAGGCAAAGAAAGCAGAATTAGAACAAGAAGAGAAATTGGTACTTAATGAAAATAAAGATATATTACATAAGCTAATAGCCTCAGAAGAAATAAAAAAAAATTTGATTCAAGAACTTCAGCAACTGCAGTCAGGCTTTTCTGACATTGAACATGTGCCCTCTTCTGAGCTTGACTGTTTAAAACAGGAAATGTCAAATGTCAAGGCAACACAAAATGCAATTCAAGAGCAACGTAGTATTGTGTGTATCCAAGGTAGGGAACAATTGGTGAAAGAACTAGAAACAAAAAGTGAACCTCTAGTGTGTGACTCTGGTTGTGAAAGGAGGCTCTGTTCAGACCAGTTGAGGAAGACAATGGAAGAAAAGGATATAGAGTTGAATAAATACCAAGTTAATCTTGAGCTTCTTCAAATGGATTTGGAGGACAGAGAGATCTCCCTGGAGAACTACAGGTTAGAAGTGATGCAACTGAAGACTGCTTTAAAAAAGATGGAAACAGAACTTGAGAAAAGCGCGAGAGAGAAAGAGACACTGCAGCAAGAACTGCTGTCTGTTAAAGAATTGAAAGCTTCATATTCTCAGCTTAGATTACTAAGTGAAGATAGCCAGTTGGAGGATAATGATGATGATGTTTCTCACAGTTGTGACATAAGAGGAATGGATGAGTTGGTCTTGTCATCCTCTTTGCAAGTAATAACAAACAAACTGAGTGAACTGGAGAAAATCTGTGAGAGATTGCAGAATGAGAACATAGCATTTGCTTCTGCATGTAAAGATTCAAAAACCGATGGCACAGATATTAATAAAGTGGCAGAGGAGAAAGAGAACATAATCAATACAAATTTAAGAACTGAGAAAGCTGCTTTTCAAGATGAACTTATGAATCAAAGTGATAACAGTGATTTGAGAATGGATAGTGGCAATAAGGAAATATTCAGATTTAAAGAACGCAGTACTGGATCCAGTTCTGACTATGAAGACTTAAAATTGTCCAGTGAAGAAGTAAAAATTCACTTTGCAGAAATAAAAGAGAAGTTATTCTCTTTCCAGAATGAGCATGTAAAATTATATGAACAACATTGTAGTATGGTATCAAAGATAACGGATCTACACTCTTGTATTAAAATACTGAAGGCCGAAAATTCTGCATTGTCAGCAAGTATGAGCAGTCTTCATATAGATTCTCTGAAAATGCCACTGTCTTCTAGCCAAAATAAGACACAGTCTAAATTAGATGAAACTAAGTCTACAAACTCTTTACTGGATGTCACCTTCTCAGAAGTAAGTAAGGTACAAGATAATTCTTGGAATGGCGGTGTGTGCAAATGGACAGAGGAAATTAATCATCTGAAAAGTTCTGTAGAAGGAATTTCAGAAGATGCAGCTAAAGATTTGATTGAAAATGATCATAGCGGTCACATATTGGACTCTGTTAAAGAGTTCAGAAGTAGTACTCCTAGCAAATCTAATCCTGAGGACAGAATCAAAGAACTTGAAATGCTATGTCAGATATATGAGAAGGTCATCAAGGTGCTCCAAAATCAACTTCATATTCAAGAAAATATGAAAACTGAGGAAATACAGGAGATGAAAAATATTATGCTTTCTGAGAGAAAAGAAATAGATAAACTACAAAATCCGTCTGATAAGAAAGAATGGCAGCAGAAACTGAATTACCAGACTACAGAGATGGAGTGCAAATTGGCAGAAGAAGGAAAAACTGAGAATCTGTCTTTTGACCTTACAACAGCAAGTCTCCAATTACAAGTCCTTAATTCAGGTTCTCTCTCACTGCTATGCACTGATACTGAAAATGTAAGTAATTACAAGGCTTTTTGTAAACCTTGATTTGTGGTAAAGCCAAATTTGGATTTTACATATTAAAAATGAAATATGTTTAAAGTTTTATCCACAGAAGTGGTACTGTTTAGAGAAAGTAGAACAATAATCTGTCTCTTCATTTTTGGATAATGCATCACGGGCAATCAGAGAAACAACAAAGTCAGCATCTCTTGTCTGTTAGCATTGTGTAGTACACTGTGCTTCTTTCTTCAAGTCTATGTCAGTGTGGATTCTGCAGTGCTAGCTGATGTGAGTATGTATGAATGTTGTATGTATCTGTACCATGTTTACAAGTGTAGATCTTTTCTGATTTAATACATCCTGTTGAAGATGCCTGTACTTTCCACATTCTTTCATGTGAACATATCAAGCAGAGTAGGACTGCTGTCACACCTCTAATTCTCTTTAATAACCTCTACAGCCAGCCAGAACTAGCTGGTAGCAGAACAGATATTTTCATTTCAACTTCACTTCCTTCAATATAAGTAAAAGAATGAGAATTTTGGAAGTCAGTGCTGTCACTTCTTTCAGTACATCTTTCAGAAGATGGCATGAAACCAATGAGCTAGATTTAACTGGTCTTTGTAAGGAGTCTTGTGTGTGACAGAACATTCAGAATGGAGGAGAACCATTTCAATTTGTGCACACAACTGTATTCTACTAATTCACCTAAAAGCAGGTCTAAAAAGTACATTTCCTGCCTGGGAGAATTCTAGTTTTGGCTGTTAAATCCTGTACGGATAGCCTCCAGCAACTAGCCAGTGCAGGCCTGGAACTGACAGTTTAACACTACTCACAGAGCATTTTGAAGATTTCCATTTTGGCCAGCTGTACAACACTGAGTAACTGTTCCTTATGAAAAAATAAAATCTTTCAGTTGTATGTGTTGCTCATGAGTAGCAGTTAGAATATCCACACTAATACACAGATACCTAAAGAAAGGGATACAGCTCTTCACTGTACACAACTGGAGCTCTTTCAAGACAGAGTACCTAGTGTACAGATCATTCAAGTTTTCACTTCTGTCACAATTCCTTTTTCAACTCCTCAGTTTTCAGTGTCAGTCATTTTTATTTTCCAAATGAGAGTGTGATACCCCAAATGTAAAACCATCTCTGGTAACTGAGAGAAGGGATTCTTTGATTTGGGTCTTGTCCCTCACAAAGGTTCTCTGATGTCTAACAGATGGTGAACGTAAAACAATTCCCCCATAAATGATACTAATTTTTATTGTGTCATCTGCATGTCTGTTTTCCTAAAATATCAAGAAATGTGACATCTTTGCATTTAGTTCTTCATTATACTTGGGTGAAGTGTCTGCCTCAAAATCACTAAAACTTTTCAGCCAAATATATGTGTATTTGTAGGTGTAAATTTGTAAATTCTTCCCCTAGGAAAGCAGATTCTCAGTTTTTTATGGTTTAAGAAAATTTGTAAGATTCACTTTCCCTTTTTTTTTTTGTTTACATGCATACATTGTTATTATTTTTTTTTAATACGATTCTTTAACTTTGCAGGCCACTCAGCAAGAAAACAATGGTCTTTATCAACTGGGAGTGCCTGTTGGAACTCCAGCACTGAGAAACAACAAACCAAAACTAATCCCCTTGGAGAAAATGGCTGTAGGAGAAACAGCTGTGCATGAAAATACTACGGAGACCACTGAAGCAAAACTAGTAGAAGCTTATTCTGACAAGTTTCATAGAGGAGAACAATGTAGAAATATGTCAGATAAAAATGCCAGCTCTTCACATCACGATAGCGCACTGTCATTTTCTAATAGCAGTTTATCTTTAAGTTCAGAGGATTTCTTTGAAAATGAAATAAGCACTAAAACTTATCAAGAAGAGATAAAACAAAAAACTGTTCAAGATTCAAAGCTGATCTATGCAACAGAAGGCCATAAAAATGTTGATTTTCTCATGGAAGTCAAGGAATTAAACTCACAAGAGGGCTTTCAGAATGCACAGTTAACTCTGGAGAAATCAGCTTCAATGGAATTGGAAGAAACTGCTGTAGAAAAGGAAGAAAACAGTGGCATAAAGGAAAACCTGGAATCAGTTTCTGTCAATAAACAGCAGTTATCTCATGGAGTAGTGTCTTCAGAAAAAGAATCTGAGAAAATAAGTTCTAAGCACAATATAAATAAAATTAGTTTGTCTAATACAACCAACACACTGGATAATATTGAAGTGACCAAGGGAGACTGTCATGATCTATTTCTTGGAGATGAAAATGAGCAGAGGCAGACAAAATCTGAGCAAGTTAATATGGAGATGCATGCCTTGTTTGTAGAGGGTAATGCTGAAATTCTTTGGGCAAAGTGTCAGCAGTTAGAAGGAGACAGGGAAATTAACCTGAAAACTATTCCTAGCCTTCAAGAGCAGCTTGTTTCAGTCACATCTGAGAGAAACCATATTGATCAAGAACATTGTGTTCTGTCTGAAAACAAAAAAGAATTAGATCAAGAGTATCAGAAATTAAAAGAGTTAGAAACAAAAAAGGAGGATTCTGCCGAAATCATTAGAAGATTAGAGAGTGAAGTAAAGATACAAACAAATCTGCTTGAGACTGAAAAGTCTGATACAGATCAACTATCAGATGAAAAAGATCACCACCCACAAGAGTTGCAAAGTTTAGAAAAGGATGCGTTGTCTTTCAGGTTGAAAGAAGAAAAACTCCAAAACCAAGTGGCAGATTTGAACAAGGAGAAAGCAGTGCTTATGAGAGAATCTGCGATGATGCAGAGTAAACTGAGTGCATTGGAAGTTGAAAATTCAAAGCTTTCCAGATATTTGGATGGCTTGATAACAGAAAAACGTGAACTTGCTGCTAGACTGAACTCAGCACAGAAAGAAGTAAATCAAATGCGAGAAGGAATGGAGAAGCTGAAAATAAAAATTGAATCTGATGAGAGAAAAAAACACTACATTGCTGAAAAGCTGAAGGAGAATGAACGGAAATCTGATGCTCTTTTGGATAAAGTAGAGAGGCTTGAAAGAGAATTGGAGATGTCAGAGGAAAATCTAGAAGATGCAGTTGTCCAACTGGAGACTGCAAAAGCAGAGGCAGAGACATTAACAGCAGAGAAGGAAGAGATGGCTGAAAACTTGAAATGTCTTCAGTCACAAATCAACGATCTCACCTCACAAAAAGAGTGTTTGGCTAAAGATTCAAAGGATAAGCAAGAAAGGATCCTTGAACTGGAGTCTTCAAATTTGACTATAGCAAAACTCATAGAAGAAAAGGAGAAAGAAAAGATGCAAATTAAGGATGAGTTTGAAAATGCTGTGTTATTGTTGAAAACTGAGCTCAAAGGTATGAGTGAGAAATTAGAGTTTTCTTCCAAGGAAGAAGCAGTTGCTAGAGCAAAAGAGCAAGTTTTGATTAATCAGGTGGCTTGTCTTGAGCAAGATAAAACAATGCTATTACAGGACTGTCAGGAATTAAAAAATGAAAATATAAAGTTGAATCACACAAGGGAATTACTTGCTATAGAAGTTATGGAATATAAACAGAAGCTGGAAGAAAAGATACAGGAAAATCATGCTTTTCAACAGCAGATAAAAGAATCGGAGGAACTGTCTTCACAGTTGACACGCATGGAACACGAGCATGAATGCTGGCACCAGGAAAAACAAAAGATGCAGGATTTAATTGTTGAGTTGAAGCTGAAGGCACAACCTTTTTCTGATAATGGAACCTTTCCGGATATCCTGAATATTCTAAAAGTGTCCTATAATGACCTTCAGAAGGAGCTGGAATCTACACTCTGTGAAAAGACTGCTTTATGTAAAAAGGTAATACCATTTTCAGGAGGGTTGAGTTCCCTTTTAAAGAATGAGGATAAAGTGTCCTCTGGGCTTACCACTTCCTTAATAAATTGTTTGTTAAAATAACACTGACCTCAGACTTTTACAGTAAGCAGCCTATTTTTGAAGTTATGTTCTCAATGCAATCACACATTTGCATTGTAGTTAGAGCTGGAAAGCAGGATGATGTTTTGTGTGCAGTGAATGAAAAAGATTGCTTGAAAGTAGACATAGGAGTTCAAGTAATCTAATAATGTGGGATATTTTCCTCTTTCCTGTAGAAGGAGGAAAGGCAAATATTGGGTGAATGAGTTTTCATATTAAGAATAAGTACTTGTAGAGCTCAACAAAAAGTGAAACACCAGTTGGACAAATGCTGTGTCAGAATGGCATTAGCCTGTTGTAACCCGTGCTTGGAGTTGGGCCAGCGAGGGGAGTAAATTAACCCATCTTTAGAACTTCTTATATTTATGCAAAAAATAAGAGATCATAACACTTAATACAAATAATGATGGAAAATTTAATTTCAGGTAAATGAGCGGACTGAAAATTGTATCGAGCTGGAAGTCAAGCTAAGTGATGCTGAACAGGCAATTTCCAAATTACAGGAAGAATTTACTACGGAGAGGAAGAAGCTTGCTGAACAAATACAACTCCTTCAAGAACATTCAGAACAGAACAAAGTTAGTTACTGCATGTGTAGTATATCTGTGTTCAAGGCCAGACTTACTATCATTAAGAATGCGTGGAGGTTGTTCAAGGGACTCTGCTAATGACCTATTATTTCAGGTTCTTGCTTCCAAGTTCCCGAATATGTAATGTTCCATTCTGAAATGGGATGATAATTAGTTAAAACTTTTTCCCCTTTTCTTTCTGTTGAAGGAATTGAATTGTTTTCCTAGTCTAAATGCCACAATTGGCTACCTGAAAATCTTTTGCTGCCAAGAATTCTCTACTGCAGGCATTCAATCATTAGGCTGAGGATGTTAGATTAAAAATTGTCATGTTTCTCAGGCTTGCTTGAAAGAACAAATTATTTTCAAAGAAGAGTCAAGGGAAAAGCAGATTATGAGTGTTTAAGATGTTCCTATTTAATACTCAGGCTGTTTTTTTACCATGGTGATGACTGTAAGTCTTGTTTATTTGTGAGCAATATTACATGTTTTTAAATGAGTTTAAGTGACCTTCTGACCTACTAATGATATTGACAAAATTTTATAACCAAGGACTTAGTTCTGTTCTGGTGCTGAGGGTATTGAATGGAAGAAGAACTGAACTTTCTGCAACTTTCAGTAACCCTGTATGGAAATAAATTTTCCTTTTGGGCAGGTGTCCAAAAAGTACTGTTATGAAAGTAAATCAATGTGAAAATACTTAGAAAGCTTTGTTACTTTGATAGGGTGAGAGATGACCCTTAATGTTTCAAGTCACTCTGGAGGAGCAGTCTTATGTTTATGTCTTATGCAGAGGTTAAGCTTTGGTTTTGCCTGTGCTGCTGAATTTAACAGTGTTGGCAAAATTTCTCTTTGTGTACCTACCCCTCAGGTTGTAGGTTTTATTTTGTAAAGAATTTCCTTTGTCTTCCATCTTGCCTCTTTGTGCTCAGATTTTTCTCTTCTTTGGTTACAGTGTGTTTAGCCACCATAAAGTTTGTCATACTAAGTTGTCTTTGGAAACTTCAGATATAAAGTCAAATAATTTAACAGATTAAGTGATCCTCCAATTATAAAATTCTAACACTAATAATGTGCTTCTACTGTTTTTAGATTGAGTTGCATTTAGTTGTGTCAGAAAAACATGAACTGACAAAGAGTTTGGTGGCAGTCCAGAAAGAACTACAAGAAAAAGAAAATATAATGAAAAGAGAAATATCAGAATACCAAGACAAACTACTTCAAACAGAGAGAGAGCACCAGAATGCTTTAAAGGAAGCAAACAGAGAGGTAAATCAGAAAATGGGAAGATAGATGCTATGAGGTTTTTAATTAAAATTTTAAATTAAATTATAGGTGTTTTACAAATTTTTCCTGATTGTATTGCAAAAGGAACTATGGTAACACTATTTCCAAATTATATATGCTTACCTCAGAGCTCATTAAGTATTAATTTTACTTTTTTCATATAGAAAACTGTAAAAGATGATTTTTACCTGAAAATTCAGTAACTGTTAAGTGTGTGTGTGTAGACATACATGTAACTTAGCTGGGACTATACTCTTGAAGAAGGGAGAAGAGCAGTGTATTTTAGTCTGGGAAACATTTGTTTTGTTAAGTATGGTGAGGAAAAGTTATGCACTGCAGACTATAAGGACAACTTTGTTGGAAATGCAGTAGTTGTATACTAAGAGGCTTTTTTTTTTTTTTATGGAGGAGACACATATGTCTAAACCCTATATAAGGGCTTTCAAATTGCAGATTTCTTAAAGGCAAGATGCAGGTATACAAAATGTATTTATGCTTGAGACAAATTAGCCTTCTAGTTTTAAACTCCTCAAAATACACCAAACAAACTTGCTATGAAATTTCTGTTGGCAATGATATGCTCTTATGTGTATCTTCAAAATATAACTGGATGTCCTTTTTAGCATCATGATAATTAGACATGGTTTTTCTTTCTTCTAGAATGAAATACAAATTGAGGCCTGTCAAGAAAAGATGAATTCATTAGAACACTTTATCAGCTCACAAAAATTGGAGATTGAGCATCTGAAGTCAACTAAAGAAGAATTAAATAATTCTCTTAAAGAAGCTAATCAGACCTTAGGAGAACTCCTAAAACTTAAGGTAAGAAAAAATATGCAAGCAGTGCTGACTGTGTGAGACCAAAGGCACAGTGCACTAAAGGAAATGTGGGACTGGAGCCACTGCTGCAGAGCTTTGGCTTGACTTTGATACAACCTTTGTTTCTCTAATGAGAACACTGGGCATGGAGAAAATATTGTTACTATTGATCTACGTTAGAAAAATTGAGTTACGCATACTACAACCAAGATCACCTACAATTGGTTTGTGATGCTAAACACAACAGTCTGTTATTTACTTTAAAAATTTCAACTGGTTGTAACATGGTCAGAATACAGTCAGAATGACTTTGCACTGCATCTGTTTTCTGTTTGTGGATGGTGTTAAGGATATGATGTTCTGTTTTAAGCATTAGTCTTTGATTCTTGAGGGTTTATCAATTCTCATTAAAATTATTAGGAGCTCTATTTACTGTACACAATTGATAATTTGGTAACAGTTGTGTTTGGTTGCTTTCTAGTAGCACAGGTGAGGTTAACTGTCTGTGTAACTGAATGCCTGTTTATTAGTTTCCTCTGCATATTTCTCATCTTCATTTTTTGCCCTGCTTCTGTTTGTGATTGATTGCTGGCTCCAAATTCCTGCTTCTACTTCTGAAATGAGATTCTCTCTCTAGAAGGCTCTTGAAGATTCATAATCAATTCAGCATCCTTGCAATTAAGTGTTGAATTGTGACACATTCACCTTGCTCAAAATTCCTTTATTTCCTCCACTGTAGTAGTGTTGATTGTTAATTAATCTGTTTTACACCAACAGTGTGATGATTTAATACTGCAGGATATTTTCCAGTGACAAAATACAGTACCCATGGCACTGTAACTGTATGACACAAAGCTGCCAGCTGTGCTTACTGTGTAGTGACAGACCAGATGAGCAAGGATCAGCATAGGAGAGTGGTAGATGATGGAAAGAAAGATTTGATGCTGCTCAAAGTAGTATATCTGAAAGACAGAGTGCAAATCAGGCCCTGTGTTATCTTGCCTCTGGTCAACGAGATACATTAGGGGCAGAAAAGACCAACTAGGAGAATGCTGTAAACTTTAGCATTTAGAATATTGGTTTGAAATATATCATCTGGAATACAGTGCTTCATTATGTGAGGTCACTGAGGTGATATTAGTTGGAGAGTTTTCTGCAGAGTTAATCTCATAAATGTGTCTGTCCAGAAGAGTACTTCCCACTTTCTTGTGATAAAAGAGCTGCTATAATGAGGCTGTACAATAACAAGCAAGCAAATCTATGTTACAGCCATAGTCTATAACTAATAGCATGTAACACTTGAGGTTAATAGTGTAATGTTTAAACAGAAGAATTATGTTTCAGGTGCCATAACTATTTTTTATTTGTAGGTTGACAATATTAATGCTATAGTTCAACTAAACAAGGAAAAAGAAGTTATCCAGAGTGAAGTGCAGCTGTGGATTAAATCCTGTAAGCAGATGGAACAGGAAAAGGAAGTGTTGCAGAAACAATTAGCTGACTATGAAGAACTACTAAAGAAGAAAGATCTAAGTGTGTCAGAAAAAGAAGGTAATTAAAGCTAGATGTAGTCTTAATGCTTTTATAGTCATTTGTAAATTTTTGACCAAAGTGCCAATTTGCATATGCAGCACTAATATAGGGCATGATTTTTTAAACTTAAATTTAAAGTAATATTCTGAAGTCACAAAAGAACTGAAAAATGTTTGCCTATGCACTGATCAAGGTTTCTTTTGGGATTTTGTGTTTGTTTTCTGTTCAGCAAATACTCTACTACGTATAAAATATGACTGATTTTGTTATATACTGTCACTTCTTGTGGTTGCACAATTGTAGAGAGATGTAATTAATCAAAAGATGTGGGACAATTGATTGTATTATATGTCCTTGCATGTGCTTTTTTTGAAAAAAAACTTCATTTATATGAACAAAGACACTTTACTTTGAAAGGTACTGATGAGAGTGCCGTTATGGAAGAAATTAAGTTAGAACTGGAAGAATTACAGGAAGCCGTGGAAGTGAAAACCAGAGAGGCAAATGAGAACTTGGAGAAATACTGCTCTCTAATTGTTAAATACTATAAACTTGAAGAAGCAAATGAGATGCTAAAAATGCAAGTCACTTTGTTGAATGGTCAGCTGAAACAGCAAACAAGTGATGCTGTCAGCAGCTCTTTGCTGAATTCAGGTAACTCATCGACAGTGGGCAGTCAGTCTGACAAAGAGATGAGATGGGATGAAGATACTACTAAGCCTTCTACTAAAAGACAGAGATGTGAAGACACCAGGAAGGAAAATGGAGAACCAAGATCTCCTTTGCCAGAGACTAGCTCAAAAAAGAAGAGGAAGGATGATATCTGTCAAAACTTGGAGAATCAGGAGAACTCAGACTATGAGCCAGATGGGCTTCCAGAAGTAGTTAAAAGAGGTATTTATAACTTTTTTTTTATACAGTCAAATATTCTCTGAACATGATAGGTGTTTTTTGCTCTTTTGTTTTGCTGAATTGGTTTTACTCTTGGGTAGTAAGATGACAGTGCTAAACATTTTTTGTGACATTGACGGAAGATGAAAGGAGTCAATGGGAGTTGTGACAGTTTAATGCAAATTTAGCATTTGTAGAACTGTTTTGAGACCATCAGAATACATTTACATTGGTTTTATAAATGACAATTTAATTATAGAGTTAACTGATCCTGGCAGTTGCAATTTTGTACTCTCTGGTGATACATATGTCAGATGGTAAACATATATTAGCAGCAGCAAAGTTTTGCGGGAACATGGCTTGCTCTAGTCATTTAAAAATATGTTCTTTGAAATAATTGAAACTTACAGAGGAATAGATGTAGAGGGAATCTAATCTTAAAAGGCTGCAAGAATACTGTGCTGGGATGGAGTCATGATTGTTCCCTGTTTGTTCACTTTGTAGCCTATCAGCTTCTTCTCTATTACTCCTTTCTATTCAAAGAGGTGGTTAATAGCTGCATGAGATTTGCCTGACAGGCACTTGGTGGTGGGGCTACGGTTGCTGCTGCCCCATGCGGGGCATGGCAGGTTCCACCTGGCTCTGCAGTGAATGATTTAAAATCTCCCAAGTCAAAACTGTTTCTAACTCTTGGCAGTGGTACCTTAACAACTTCATGAGGGTTCTGTTTCATTCCACTATTAACAAGATGGAATTAGGTGGCCTGATGTTCCATATTATGGTTTCCTAAAGCAAAAAGTATCTGAGAAGAATGCACAAATTAGGGCTTGAAAAATATATTGTATGTTCAACTGCTTATTAAGTACCTTTTTATAATAAATGCAATGGTAATCATAAGACAAACTGAAGTCACCTCAGCTTCAGTGGTCACTCCCAGAAATCAGGACTTCTAAGCAGATACAGTATTTGCAATTCGTTTTCTTACCAGCATTATTATTATTATGAAAATATACCTGCTCTGAGGACACATGCACCAGTTAATGTTTGACTTCTAGGCTAGATAGCAAGATAACAGAGAATCTGTAACAATACTGCTCTAAAATAAAGAATTTATAACTGTATACTATAAAAATAAAGAATGTTATGATACAGTGTGTTCTGATTAAATGCTGGTAAAAACAGTATATGTGTTTTCAGGCTGAAACTCTCCAGATGATGATGTGCCTATTTAAAAAAAAAAAAAAAGACTCAACACTTGTCTGAAAAGCTTTGCTATAGAATTACTGTTGTACCTTGCCTATTGTTTTCAGGACTTGCATATGAAATTTGGAATACAGAAGAGCAATTCAGTAATCTTTTAGATTTTCAATAGGACAAAGTATTTATTTTCATCAGCTGCTTTAATTCCCATAGAGAAAAAAAGATCCATTCATTTGAGGAAAAAGTGTAGGTTATTTAGCTGTGTTTAATAGAAACTGGTTTTATTCCAGGTTTTGCTGATATCCCCGTTGAAAGGGTTAGCCCTTATATTTTACGTAGAACCACCCTCAATCTATGGACCAGTCCTCATCTGGCTTCCCAAAATGAGAACTTACCCATACCTACACAAGATGTACAAACAGGAAGATGGGATCATCTTGGTGAGCACTCCTATTCGACACCTGGTGGCAGCAAATCACAAAAGGTAATTTTTAAAAAATGTATCTGTGCACAAAAGCCATGGGGAAAGCTGTTATGTTCACTAAGCTTATTCATCTTACTGAAATCTCTTTGAGTATATGTAATTACTTAAATTTCTCAGCAGTAAAGTGAAGGTGAGATCATAAATACTGATTCACTGAAACATAGAGGTCTAGACCACACTAGCAACCTGCAAATTGTTCCCATATGTAATTTGTGACTTCATAGGGAAATCTACTTGGAAATGAAAATGAAATACAGATACATCTTTTTTTTTTTTATTTCTTTTGTTTAGTATTAAAGAAAAGATAATTTTTGTACTACAGTTTTTTAGGTTTCAGAAAAAAAGTGAAGAGCATAACAACCTCTGCAAGTGAGAGTTGAGGATTAAATTTTTCTGCTAACTTTTCTTGAAATTCCACTTTCTAAAAAGTTGTAACTACAGATATTTGAAAGTGTGTTTAACACGTAAATAGATAACACTTAGATGATAAGAAGCTAATTTAATGTTAGCAATTACCAGGGTTTGAGGTTACCAAAATAAATAATACTGAGTTACATTCTGAAAGATTATTTTATTAGTGAAAGAAAAGGTTTAGTAAAGTTTAAATTAACTTAGAAGTGTTTTCAGTAACATGGCACACTGCTACACGTTTCACAGCACATCAGAATGAGGCATTCTTTCTAAGTTGAGGCAAATGCTTTGCAGATTACAGAAAACATTCCAGCTTCAGAATAGAAGTAAATCTTTTGTTGTCTGATATTTCCTCCATAGTTGATAACCACGCTATCTTAAAGTTGAGCAACCAGAATTTGAGAGTACATAATATATTGATACTTATTTTACCTGCATAAACTTCCAATTTGCCACATTAGTTAAAAAAACAACACCATTCTCATGGCAATCAGCCATCATTCATACAATTGAATATGAAATCATAAAGTATGATTATTAATTTCTAGAAGCATTCAAAAAGAAAGCAATTATTTTTTTGTTACTATGTTCGCAAGATACCAGAAGAAAGTAAAAGCAAGAGCCCCCAAGATGGTGGGGTTTTGAGCAACCTCATCTAGTGAAAGATTTCCCATACAAAGGGAGTTGGACTAGATGATCCTTCCAACCCAAAGTATTCCATTCTATAGATTAGATTAGTGGATGTATAGGCTTTGAGCCTATGAGAATGATCAGTCAGATGAGAACTGCAATTTGTTTTGAGCTGTAGCACTATGAAATCCATATTGTATTGTGAGACTGGATCTATGTTATTTATTCATGGTTTTTCAGTGTCAATTATCCTACTTATCAAAACTTGCTGCTGCTTACAAGCATTGCCTGAAGGTCTCATTATTCACAGAATCACAGAAGGGCCAGGGTTGGAAGGGACCTCAAGGATCATGAAACTCCAACCTTCCTGCCACATGCAGGGCCAATAACCTCCTCATTTAATGCTAGACCAGGCTGCCCAGGGCCCCATCCAATCTGGCTTTGAACACTTCCAATCCACAACCTCTCTGGGCAGCCTGTTCCAGTACCTCACCACCAATTAGTGTTTCATTAAGTGATCCCAATAAATTTATTATTTATTTACAGTCACTTATGTATGTTTTTCTAGAAGCAAATGGAGGGTATTTGTTGGAGGAAAAAACAAGCAAACACAAAAATGAAACAACTCAGTAGGACAAAAAGGAAATCACGGCTCCAAGAAGTTACATACTAATCACCTGCCAGCACTGCAGAAGCCTGTTGTAGGCTCTCACTGGTCTCAGTTAAGGTCGCAGCAAATAAGAAGCAATCTGACTTTATAATCTGACTTTATCTTATATGAGGGAATTATTTCTCAGTTAGTCCTCCTCATTGCTGATGCACATATTTTTTGTTAATATGTATGTACTTTTTTCCAAATTCCCAACAGTTAGTCTTTTGCTCTGAGACTTTTGACCTACTGCAGAAAGCTAACAGTTTACCATTGCCAGTAAAACAGAACATTTGTTTGTGTTACAGATAAATGAAGAACAACAGTCCCAAGCAAGAACAGCTTTTTCACCAATGAAATCTTCTTCAAGGTCACCTCTTTGGCCATATAAGCCATCCACAAATATTGTCTCTGACAATATTAGGGAGACTCATATGATTCACAAAGCCAAAAATTCCCAAAATGAACAAGCACTACCCAAGCAAGATCAACAACAAGAAAACTGTAAGGTGCAGTAAATCTGTGTGAATTTAATTACAGCTCAGCACAACTGATCATGAAAAAACAATTTTTCAAGTTTTTCAAATAAGTACCAGAACTACACTGGACAGCGACATTTTTTTTCTGATCAAATAGTTAGCAATATCCTTCAGGTCTTGTTCTTGAATATGCACTAATAGTTGCGGAGTCATAATGGAACTAAAATTTGTAGAATGATTATGAAAGAACAGATCTTCCGTGGAGTCTTGTGTAAATAATTCTATACAAACTTGTAAAAAGAAATTAAACCACTAAACCAAAAAAAGGACTGCATGTTGCCTTGTAATTCATTGTTGCTGTTCATCCTGTGTACAAAAGGGTGATTTACAAATGGTAATTAAGATCACTTGAGCATCTCTAAAACTATTAGATTCCAGGAAAAATGAGACAAACGCTGTCTTATGATTCAAAATGAGGCAGTGATTTCATTTGCAACTGCAAATGCGTGTATAACCTGATAGAAGCTGAATCCAGTGCACAATTGTTTTCATGTAACTTCTTCCATGTGGAAAAACTGTGCAAAGAAGAGATTCGATCCAAACAAATCCAGAAAGGATTGTCCATTTTCCTTGATATAAACTATCATCTGCTAACCCTTATCTTTGTACTTCCTGATACACGCTAGCTTTGACTGTAGCTGAAAGATGTTAGTGTTAATCATCACCTCTGAAAAATGGACCCTGTGGCAACACATAGTGCTCAATCTAGCAATAATGGCTGGCTGCTGATTCTCTACAGGAAGTCACTCTTCACCCTTGCAGTGCTCAGCCTTCAATAAGACATTTTATATGAAAATCACTGCAGATAATTGACTTATAACTGTTGTAACAAATGGATTAAAAAAGAAAAATTGGGGATAGCTATAACTCAGCCAGAAAAAGCATCCAAAATAGAGCAGTTCTGTGCGAGAGAAAAGGGTCCCATCAACTCAACCAGTCATTATCCAACTGAAGAGAAATTACTTTTCCAATAATTCATATTGATTATGCTCACCTACCCAAGTATCAGAAAAATCAAGTGCCAGTACACGAGCAATAGTACTCTGACTCTAAGCTACATGGCAGGAGGATGCTATCATGTTCTTCCATCAGAAAGATGTCATTTCTTCCTTCAAAATAGGTAGATAGTAATGTTTTCTATTGCCTGAAAAAGTTCTTAAAGCAATAGCATTTTCTTTTAAATTAAGTTGAACTTCAGAGTATAACAAGTGCTTCTCCAATGACACAAAGATAAGGTTCTACTTCAGGTTGTACTGGTTTTATGCTTGGACTATTTTTCTCTCTCAAAAACACAGAAGAAATGTTACTCTGCCTTATTGACAGCACTGTCAGTTAGAATGCTCTGTATGAAAAGACACTGCTCTACTCATTGGTCTAACTGGAAGATCATTGAAGAATTTCAGCATTTGTCTCAAATGAATCTAAGAAACCAAAATATTCCATATACTTTATGGAAAATATGAAACCTTACCTTCAAGTTACTACACACACCTACTGCTGGCATCAGGATCAGCAGAACTTGTGGCTTTTTCTTAAACTTCTCTAGTTGTTTGTTCACTCAGATATTAGGTAATTAAAACAATCCTTGTGGCACTGTGCCTAGAAGCAACTTCTGGGGAGACCGAAAGAGGCCCATCTTAAAGAATGCACATTGACTGCCTCAGCTTCTGTCTGTGTTCCAACAAGGCAGCTCATAAAAGTTAAATTATTTCAGATAAATAAATCTTTTCATCTTCAAATTATATAGAGCTTCTCTATGGAACTGTAGCTTTTTTTTTTTTTAAATTAACACTCATTACAAAGATCTTGAGATAAAAACATGAGTGGGAAAACAGCACTGCGCTGTTTTATTTATCCTCATCTTTTTGGAGTGACCTACATACGCATCCAGTGACAGAGGGTAGGTATGTCTTTGTTGCTAAATCTGTTTGGCTTTTTGCTTTTTGTTTGTTTGTTTTGTTTTGTTTTTCCTGGAAGAAACAAACAAATAATGTACTCTTCACTTTTCAGCTACTGAATACTTAGGTGAATGCACTGATGATTTATGAGCGCACAGAAAAGTCAGAATCTTTGTGTTTTGCTTTTCTGTGACTGAATTTTATAAATTAGATGAAAACTTAGTGAGAATCTACTCTTGACACTGGGTGGTGTTCCACGGTTCTCTTGTTAGAAGGTCTGCTGAGTACCACATGAAATGCAGTGAAGTCACTTTTTGTGAAGTCTATATATCCACATCAGATTACTATGTACTTTTGGAGACAAAATAGGAGAGTGGGAAATTATTATTATTATTTTTTGCTGGAGAGTACTTCCATTTTTTTCACTACACACAAAAATAAATGTAATCTTGACCTATTCTGAAAATCAGTTCTCTTGTTAATTTTTAAAATGTATGTGGCTCTGGTTGTTGTCTGGGACTGACTGAAGACTTTAATTCTTCTAAGGAGCACAGTTGGAATCCTTTTTAATTAACTTAGGTTCAGATGGTTCAGATCATGGGCTAGAAGTAGCAAAGGAGATGACCAATACCCCATCTCTGCAGATTTTTTTTCTTGCCATTTTCTTATGAGCAATTACAGAAGGCAAGAGTATGTTCTGTGCTTCTGAGATCTTAATATCTCATGCTTGCTTAGCTCCTTGTTTAACTTGTGTTACCTGATCTTGTACTTTTTTTATTTAGGTTTCTGTCTCCTGGTACTATCTTCAGGTCAGTAAATCTAGTGAGGCAGGCTGTTACACCTGAAAGTATTAGTTTATATCAGAGAATCTAAACAGCAATCTCACATTAACTGCACATCCTCTAAATAGCATTCTTTATAAGAATTTGAAGGTTACCAAATGATTGGTTCATTTAGGTGTCTCAGTCCCAATTACTGGCTTCTTTGACACAACAGTATGCTGCCTGTGTTGTAAGCATCCTCCTGACATGTAAAAATTACATAGAAAAAATGTATGGTTAGTGAATCAATGGCAGCAAATAGAATATTGCTGTGAAAGTGGTGCCAAAGCTTTTAAAACAGTTAAGTACATGGACAGAGATGATGTTGTGTTTGGCTACAGCGCTGAAGATGGGAGATCTGATTGAAGTCTTGTCTTTGCTCTGATATTGGCACTGAAGACAGTCAGCTTAACCTGCTGCAGGACTGATAGAGGAATAGCCACACTCCCTCACATAGGAACTGATAAAGGGTGCTTTGAAGAGCTCTAGCACAGACTGCTGTCAACAGAGCAAACTTCAATGAAGATTTCTTCCCCACTTATTTCTTATCTCTTCTCTAGCTGAAGAAAGTGTATGCTAGAAGTCATCTTAAAGGCAAGTCTCTCATTTTCAGACAACTCGGTTGCTACCCAGGGTACAATGTAAAAATATTGATGGGAATGTAAGAGATCACTGGCTTGCTATAGCAATCAGGAGGATTCCACAAATTTGTATCATCCCAGTGGTATACTGGGGATAACTTCTGTAAGTTCAGTAATGCATCTGTGATTATTCTTCTCCTTGCCTCCCAATTAACCTGTACTGTACATATTGTTCTCTGTCAAATATCTTATTTTGTCAGGTGCCAGAGAGCAGAGTAGTACTCTTTTCAAATTGCTGGTTTGATTTCTGGCAGTACTTGATTGCTTTAAAATGTGCTTTCTACATCCATTTTCCTCTATACTTAATTAACTGCAGAAAAAGACTGGAATGAGGTTTCACTTAAGTAGATGTTTCACTTTTGTTGCCTGTAACCCATTCATTTATTCCCTGTAGCTCACTAAAGTAATCTCGGAGATGTTATCTTTCGTTTGCAAGAAATTTTGCACTCAGGTTTAACTGTCTTTAGCTAAATCCCCCTGCAGAATGCATCCAGTTTTGGGATCAAGCACAGAAGCAAGGCTACAGCAGAAGTGATGAAAAGCCAACCAAAATCAAACATCTCATTTTGGTCAGTGGAAGGCGACTGTGGGAATTCATGACGCAAAAGGGAGTCTAAGAGCTGTCACTTAGAAGGGAAAAAGGACGGGTGGAATTAGAAGCTCAGCAGATTCTGAGTAAGTTATTGGGAAAATCTTAAAACTGAAGCTCCCCTTGAAGGTCGATGTAGTGATCACTGAATATTAAGCCCTTTAACAGAAAACTAATTCTTCTTGTTGAAGCATACTAGGGACGATAGATAATCTACTCTGTGAGCTCTAAACACATAACGTCCAGTGCTTCAAAACTGACTCACTCTTCTAGCTTAGCTTTTAGCTCTGGCGTAAGAAAATATGGGGCAGTTCCCATGCTGGAACTGCTGTGAATCCAATACATCTCTGCACAGGTACTTTTTTGATGTTTGCAGTCTTCAATATCCAAGGGATTTGTTTTTCTTTTGGGAGGTTTACAGTCTTGATATAGACATGAAGAAATACTCAAGAATAGTGGGAAAAAAACATTAGCCCCTGTCCTCCATGACTTTAAATCAATATGTGCTGTATTTTTGGAAATAATCTAAAACTTATTAAAGGCTGTTCCAGAAGGCCACTCTTTGTAGATGTTAAAAGGCAATTTTATATTTGTATTCTGAATTTTCAAGTGAACTGCTAAAGTGAACCTTCAACAAAAGGGAAGAATCAGTACGGTGTCCAAGGCTATGGAAAGCTGAAGACCATCAGAGCTTGCTGTCAGATCTGTGCAGTGCTGAGTCAGCAGATTTGATCCAATGTATTCACTTTGTAAATGTCCCTTTTTTTCTTTTCCACTCTAGATCTAATCTTGAAGCTTGCTGACCCAGAACTAAAGCATGACCTGGAGAACAGATTGTGCTTGATTTCAGTGACTAATCAAAGTTGTCAGCTATACAGATGTGAAGGTATGCACGTGTCCTGTGGCTGTGAGACAGATCAAATTTAGTGATGGTCATCTTTTTACATTTTCTACACATTTTTCCTCTTGTCTCCATATGTGAAAACCCTGATTTATGTAGACAAGTACCTTTGTTCTTGAAGAGATGAATATTTGCCACTGCCAACACACAAATTAAACAGGAAGAAGAGCAACATGTCAGTATACCTTACGTGCTGCCAGAGCAGGCAGTGAATGAATATGTCCAGTTAAAACTTCAGAAGAAGTTTAAGGAGTTGAAATGAAACTTTAGAAATTTCAGTGAGAATAAATTCTAACCATGTTACAGTGGCAACGTACAAAATGCCTACTTTAGGTTCTATGCAGAAGAGGATCTGCTTTATAAGACATTTTCTCTTCTGCCTGTCATGGGGTCAGTACTGGTTTGGGGGGAAGATTCTACATACGAGATCAATGACATTATTTGTTGTGGTAAGAGTAAGCTTAATTTCTGTGCTCATCTCACAGCATTCATTTTTATTTTTATTGGTTTACATTTGGAACTTACCCACGTGCAACATCCAGTTATATTACGAAAGCCTGTATTTAAATGGTAACAGTGCACAGTGCTCAAAAGTGA